CCCCCCGCCGGGGGGGGGGCCCCGCAGGCGTCCCACACGGAGGGGCCCTTCGGGGGGCCCCCAAAGTACCCCTCCTCCCCACAGGGGGGGGGCCCCTGGGGGCCCCTCACGTACGGCGCGTCCGCTGAACGCGAACGGGGGGCCCGGGGGCCCCAGGAGGGGGGCCCCCGCGGGCTCGGGGGGCCCCTCCAGCGGGGGGGGAGGGTCTCCGTCTTCACGGGGGCCCTCAAGGAGACACTTGTACCCTCTGCTGTCTCCAGGGGCCTCCCGGCCAGCGCTGGGGGCCTCCGGGGGTCATACGGGATGCACGGCGACGCGCGAGAACCCCCTGAAACAAACCGCTCAATCAGGGTTTAGGGTTTAGGGTTTAGGGTTTAGGGTTGGGGGGTTTCGCAGGAGTGTCTGGCTCTAAAAGAGGCTAGCGTTTTAACGCCAGACAGACCCGGGAAGCGTTCCGCGAAGGCTTAGGGTTTAGGGTTTAGGGTTTGGGGCGCACCCTTTGGAGGGTCTGTGTTGGCTGCAATGTCCACCACTGTTGTGACAACGGGGCCCCCCAGGGGGCCCCCCCTGAGGGCATTTGCTGCAGCGTCATCAAAGGAGGCCCTTGCGAGTTGGGGTTCGCAGCTGTTGCAGTGGGTCTCCACGAGGACCTGCGCGCAAACCCTAAACCCTAAACCCTAAACCCTAAAAGCTACGCCGTAACCCTGAACGGCAACCCGCAAACCCCAACCCGTAAACCCGAGCGCCTGAGCGGTAAACCCCAGGCCCTGTGGAGCGGTGCAGGGGCGGGGTTTTCGCTGGGCGGCGGGCGCCCGCGTGAGTCGCCGTTTCAGGGTTTAGGGTTTAGGGTTTGGGGCTGACGGCTCTGCCGCGGGGCGGCAGCGCGGCGTGGAGCTCCTTCTCGGGATAAAGAGTTGGCTTCGGAGGAGACACTGGATGTTTGTAATAAAAGCGAGCTCCTTCGTGGAGCCGAACAACAGTGGAGGAGACTCGAGATCTGTCTCCGAGTTCGACGGGGGGGGCCTCGTAGA